AGTAGCGGGAGTAACAGCAGTAACAGCAGGAGCAGTAGCAGTGGGAGTAGAAAAGGCAGTAGCAGCAGTAGCAGCGGTAGCAGTGCTAGCAGGGCAATGCTCACCAGTGGTCGGCGCGGCAGGCGCAAGACGGTGGCGACAGCGGGGCCGCTACAACTGCAGGGCGGGGCCGGGCCGCAGCAGGGAGCTCCGCGGCAGCTGCTGCACGGCGAGGCCGGGCCACGACGGCAGCTGCTCCAGGTGCCAGGGGCGGCTGCTGCAGTGGCGGCTGCTCCAGGGGTCAGGGGCGGCTGCTGCAGCGGTGGTTGCTCCAGGGGCCAGGGGCGGCTGCTCCAGGGGCGAGGGGCGGCTCCTGCAGTGGCGGCTGCTCCAGTGGCCAGGGGCGGCTGCTGCAGGGGCGGCTGCTCCAGAGGCCAGGCGCGGATTAGGTCAGGGCGACGCGGCGAGCAGGGCGACGCGGCGAGCAGGTGGCGACGCCGCGGGCAGGGCGACGTGGCGGGAAGGTGACGACGCCGCGGGCAGGGCGACACGGCGAGCAGGTGACGACGCCGCGAGCAGGGCGACGCGGCGGGCAGGGCGACGCGGCGAGCAGGTGACGACGCCGCGAGCAGGGCGACGCCGCGAGCAGGTGGCGACGCCGCGGGCAGGGCGACGCGGCGAGCAGGTGACGACGCCGCGGGCAGGCGACGACGCCGCGGGCAGGCGACGACGCCGCGGGCAGGCGACGACGTCGCGGGCAGGGGCTACGTCGCGGGCAGGCGACGACGCCGCAGGCAGGCGACGACGCCGCGGGCAGGCGACGACGCCGCGGGCAGGCGACGACGCCGCGGGCAGGGGCTACGTCGCGGGCAGGTGACGACGCCGCGGGCAGGCGACGACGCCGCGGGCAGGGCGACGCGGCGGGCGGCGAGAGCCTGCAGGGGCGGCGCGCGGTCGGGCAGAGGCTGCGCGCGGGCCTGACGAGTCTGCAGGGGCGGCTCTCGGGCCTGACGGGCCTGCAGAGGCGGCTCGGGGGGGGCCTGACGGGTCTGCAGAGGCGGCTCGGGGGCCTGACGGACCTGCAGGGGCGGCTCGAGGGCGCACGAGGGCGCTCGAGGGCGCACGAGGGCGCACGAGGGCGCACGAGGGCGCACGAGGGCGCACGAGGGCGCACGAGGGCGCACGAAGGCGCACGAAGGCGCACTAACAGAGAAAGGCGCACGAGGGCACACGAGGGCGCACGAGGGCGCACGAGGGCGCACGAAGGCGCACTAGCAGAGAAAGGCACACGAGGGCGCACGTAAGGTAGGGCGCACGAGGGCGCTTCTAGCGGAATAGTGGGCCCATAGTAGAAAGCGGTCCTAGGTAGCAACCTAGGCTCTGATACCATATTAGAATCCAGAATAGAACGAGAATGAATGAAACTAGGTAGGAGGGGGATACAAGTAGGAAACCCTAACAAAGCTGTACCCCCTAAGGCTAAACCCACTATAGCCTACACAATATGAACATATAATGTTTGACAGCAGCCGCACTCAACAAGTCTCCAACGGCCCCAACTGCACATGTCTCAGAAGACCCAATTGTAATGAAGCACGATGCCTTTGCAAGAACAGAAAGCAAGCTTTCTCAATATGAATTTTTTTGAAAGTGTGTAACACTTTCTAAAAATGCGTATTGTGAAAGCGCAGCTGTCTGTATCGCAGCAAGGCAACGGCGAATTACAATTCGCCGAATACATAACGAAGGTTGGAGGCCATTTGGCCTCCACCCACGTCTTCATTTGGAACTTGCAGTTCCACTCCCCACCCACCCACCCTAGTCGTATACGCAACTTGTATAGTCTATTTGGACGAGAATGTTAATTACTGCAATTGTAATGAAGCACGATGCCTTTGCAAGAACAGAAAGCAAGCTTTCTCAATCGTCTGGTCGCAAGGAGTTAAGGGTTGTTGCTCTCAAATTTATTTGCCATCTGAAAGGGGTATAGATTTGTTTGCCCCGGCTGTACGACAGAATAAATTACAAACAGTTTGCGGAAAGAGCGCCAGAATATCAATTACGTAAGAACAATTGTTTTTACAAAACTTACGTTTTTGCAATTAGCTTGAAAATCGGAAAGTGTGTCAGGATTTCGGAAAGTGTGTCAGAATTTCAGAAAGCTGTGTCAGAATTTCGGAGAGTGTGTCAGAGGTTTCTGCTTCAGGATTCGTCAATTTATTCTGACGCGAGTGGGAAAAACCAGAATCAGGCTCAATTTCGGCGGGAATTTCATGTAATTACCATTCGCGTGATGGGCTGCTAGTGTTGAGTTACCAAATGCGTTAAGTGAGTTACCAAACATATTAAGCCAGTTACCAAATGCGTTAAGCGAGTTACCAAACGCGTTGAAATCGTTACCGTACGCGTTATAGTGCCCCATGTAAGTTACCATTGACATATTTTCCCTTTTTTTCTAACACTAAAGTGCGCTCTAAACAACAAATACAGTTATGATTGCAAGCCTGCCTGTCATGCTGGTTTTCACAACTCCGTACAACTTCCCTTACGAACTGTGAGTGCCACAAGAAACTCAATTTCCTTGATTTTAGGTTTCCGTAGTACTGTGATCTAAGTTGGAACCCTTATACCTAACTAAAGAATATATTCCTGGCATAATATTTTCAACTAGGAACTGTCATCTCATCTCATGCATTTAGAGCGTATTCCTACGGGGCCACCTCGTATCAAGAATGAAATTGACTTTTGTTTACGGTATAAAACACCTTATATCAAGAATAGACCGAACCAGCGCACCAATGAAAATGCTCGCACACCCAGAAGTGAACGTGCTGATTTTCCGACGCACGGTTCCAGTTGACGCGAAGTCGTCAGTCCAGTGAATGCGGCCGACAAACAGTCATGCGAAACTGCACACGGTGGCAGTCGTGCGCCGCGCGCGAACGTGCAAAGTGTGCAAACTTGTTCATGCTGGGTCGCAACATGCCACATCAGCTGTTGATGGAGTCGCACATGTGGGTTAACCGGCAACTTTTACTGATATGAGGTTTTGGCGAACTTGTCAATTTACAGGCAGGAGTACCATTCTTGATACGAGGTGGCCCCGTAGGAATACGCTCTTAGAGATTCGAAATTTACACCACTGATGACTGAGATTGGCCCAGAGAAATGTATCACCACCCCACCACCTATCCCAATCAATTACTGCAGCATGCCAGAATCACCTTCACACCACCTTCACTCCACACACATGCACGCAATTCACAGTCGATATTTAACTTTTACATCAATAACTTTGTCTCGCTTGTGCTCAGGCTGTGGTGGAAGCTTCTTGACGGAAACCGTCAAGATGCCGTCCACACAGGCAGCCGTCACACGTTCTACGTCTGCATCAGACGGAAGCTGAAACTCTCGAGCAAAGCCCCCGTGTACTCGTTCTCTCCAGATAAGCCGCTCGTTAGCCGACTTCTCCTGACGACGCTCTCCCTTGAATGTAATAACAAGCGTTTCAGGATCAACTCTCACTCTCAAATCCTTTCCTTGAAACCCAGGTACGTCGACACAGAAAATATACTCAGTGGGTGTTTCGACGATATCTAGCGGGGCCATGCGCAGCAGAGAGAAATCAACGGCAAGTGCCTACTCGTGCGGGAGCCTGGGACAACGGAACACAGTCAACAGTGAAACCCAATTGACGACCTCTGCCTGATGCTGCGGTCCAACTTCACAACTCGCTGTGCAATTTAGTTCGGGATGAAAGTTGGGTGCTGCTAGGACTTCCGGGAAGCAAATTGAGGACTTTGTCGGGAGACCAGTCTTTTGGTGCCATGCCGAGTGAAGTACATGTGCGTTCACGAGATCAACACCTGTTACGTAAATGGCATGAGCTGCATAACCAGAGTGAGGAATAGGAAATACGTGAGCTATATAACATGTGATATCGTGCCCTGCAATTACAGCCGATAAAAATAAATCGCTGCATTTTTCCATTATGAGCCAATTTATTCATGGGGGATTGCTATATATATGGGATACAGCAGCGGAATTATTGACTTATCAGGGAAGAATGTTAATAGAGAATAATTGAACTACTACAAAATTCAGGGGTTCATGTTTTAAGGATACCCCACTAACATCCTAAACTACTCTCATATTTCTAACAGCTGTGATAAAGAAAATAAGTTGGAAAGTGTGCCTTGGCAAGCTAGCAAAACTGAGAACGAGTTGCACAGTGAAGCGGTTTAGAATTTGTCTTGTCTCAGCTCGGCACCTCGTTTATGAAAGTTGAATCATACGGTAGATGCAGCAGCAGCACCCTCTCGGAGGAAACAAGTCACTTACCAGCAGTAGCGGCTATTGCAGCACGCTCCTAACGCGTTCGTAGAGGAAGGCCTTTCTCAAATTCTTTCCCTCCTCCCCCCAGTCAACACTTTTTCCCACAGATTTTCCAGTGGGAAGTAGAGTGTCTTTTCCTAGACCTAGCAACTATTTGGTCCCATTTAGTGCATCACTGCACGTGACAGTGCAGAAACTACAGAATTTGAGCTGGAACAGATTTAGGTTCCGGATCGGCGTTTAGGCGCCAGCGGATCGACCCTCCTCCCGCATTGCCGGCCGATCGCGTCTCCCTCCGCCTTTTACCGCCGCTTTGCACCATGTGAGGCTTTAGGCTTGTACACCGCGGTTTTTGTCGCTCTATCTCAAGTCTCTCCTATTCTCTTATTTTCTAGGCTTTGCGGGTTTTGGCGTTTGACTGTGCACCGGTATTATAGGACATTGCTGATTCGTGATTCGTGATTGCTGGTTTGTCATTCATGATTCATAACTGGTAAAGTGCAAATTCATGATCCATGAATCAGCTTTCTCTCTGCAGATCTCCTCGTCTGTTTGATCCCCTCGCTTGCATCTGTTTGATTTAACAGATGCACGTCTGCACTCTGACACGACGAACAGGCAGTCTTGTCTCTTTTCGGATCTATACGGGTCTTGCTCGTGCTTTCTGTAGCCCCGTTCAGGACACCATGCAGTCTTCGCTCTCTTCAGTTGATCTCTTCGGTCATAGTACCTCGTCTCCCATGCTCCCCTGAGTCTCTTCGATCTCTTCAGTTGATCCATCTTCCGTTGCTGGTCCAATGGATCGCCGATGGATCGTTGATTTGTCGGTATGTGTGGGTACATACAGGGTTTCCCGACTCGCTAGTGTACTGGATCAGGTTCCTCGCTATAATGAGTTGTCGTCTCCTCGTTTCCTGGAGGCTTTTTGGCCTACGCGAATAACACTAGCGGGTTTCCAGCTATCTCTCGGCCACCTTCCAACCCCTCCTCCATTCCGGCGCTGCTTTTTTCAAGATACAAAGTAGGGAATGGGAGGAAGGGTTGGAATATTTGGAATATTTGGCCCGTGTCGTCGTTATTACGAGTCGCATCCCAACGGCTGGAGATGTCGCAGCCGGAGCAGGTGCTTTATTTGAATGAATCGAGAATCGTAGAAAGCTAACCTCTCCTTTTCCCCTTTCTGCCACCCTTCCCCCCCCCCCCGTTCCCCCCGTCTTCTCCCCCCCTTCCCCCCGCGAGCCAGGGCCATGTCGCAGCAGAAGCAGCGACTTCCGCCGTGCGCAATTGGCGCGGATGGCGCTGACCTCCGCTTATGCATCCCCTCAACCCCGTCCCCGTCTCCCTTCCCCTTACCCCCCATTTCCCCACGCCAGGACCATGTCGCAGCAGGAGCAGCAGGAGCAGCAGCCTCATCTTGAGATCTAATGTTCTATTCCCGCACCCCCCTCCCCCCCTCCCCTCCCCCTCCCCGCGCCAGGACCATGTCGCAGAAGGAGCAGCAGGAGCAACAGCCTCTTCCGAGCAGCGCGAGCGGCGCACAAGTTGCTCACCTCCCCTTTATGCCTCTTCTCAACCCCTCTTCCCCCTCCCTCCCTCCTCCTTCCCCACCTCCTCCCCCTTCTTCCCACGCCAGAACCATGTCGCAGCAGGAGCAGCCGCTTCCGAGCAGCGCGAGCGGCGCGGAGGGCGCTGACGTGGACGAATCAGGGGTGGCGCAGTCGCCGTCGTCCGCGAATCCCGCCGCGCCGTCCTTCGCGTCATCGTCGCTCTACGTGGGCGATCTCGATGCGAGCGTCACGGAGGCTCAGCTCTTCGACCTCTTCTCACAGGTACCGAGAGAGAGGCAGGCAGTGTGCTGCAAACCAGGTGAACACCCGCCGTCCCTCCCGTGCCTTCCCTCCCCTCCTCCCCCCCTCCTCTCCCCTCCCCTCCCGTGCCTTCCCTCCCCTCCTCCCCCCCTCCTCTCCCCTCCCCTCCCCTTCCACTCCCCTTCCCCCTCCCCCTCCCCCTCCCCCTCCCCTTCCCCTCCCCTTCCCTCTCCCCCTCCCCCTCCCCCTCCCCCTCCCCCTCCCTCTCCCCCCCCCCCCCCCTCCTCCTCCCCCTCCCCCTCCCCTCTCCCCTCTCCTCCTCCTCTCCCCCCCGTTTCCACCATCCTCCCTTCCCCTTCTCACCTCCTTCGCGTCATCATCCCTCCCCGATCCTTGATCTACATGCGAGCGTCATAGAGGCTCAGCTTTTCGACCTCTTTTCGCTGGTACTGAGGGTCAGATGATTTTCTAATCGATTTCTGATCACCCTCCCTCTCCCTCTCGTCCCTCTCTCCCTCCGCTCCCTCTGTCCCTTCCCTCCCCACAGGTCGGCCCAGTGGCCTCCATCCGCGTGTGTCGCGACATGGTCACTCGGCAATCGCTGGGATACTCGTATGTCAACTTCAGCAGTAGCCAGGATGGTGAGTGTTACTGTGTTACCACCAAAGGGGTTCTCAACCTCTCACCTGACACATGCTCACACATGCGTACATGTACACATGCATGCATACAAGTAGACATGCGCAGCGCACACATGCACACACACGCGGCAATCGCTGGGGTACTCGTATGGCAACTTCAGCAGCAGCCAGGATGGTGAGTGCGGCGGCAGTCTTATTGGTGCACACGCTCTCACGCACACATAAGCACTCTTCACCACTCTTCACCACTCGCACGGGCACCCAATCTGCTTAACTTCACAATTGTGGCTGGGCGGCCCATGCATGTCATGTTCTCGCACCGGGACCCATCCCATTTGATATACAATACCCCTCCCCCCCTTCATTCCCCCCCTAACACATCGTGCTCTGTGCTCAACTGCACGGGTCCTTGACCTACTTAACTTCACAAACGTGGCTGGGCGGCCCATGCACAGGACCCATCCATCCTGCATCCCTGATACCGCCCCCCACCCTTTATTATATCCTTCCTACCCCTCTGACATCCCCCCCAAAAGTTTGGCACCCCTCTGAATGCAGCCGCACACGCCCTTGATCTGCTGAATTTCACAAACGTGGCCGGGCGGGCGGCCCATGCTCATCATGTTATGTTCTCGCATCGGGACCCATCCATCATGCACCCAGTACTCTACTCTCCTCTCAATTCTCCTATCCCATCTGTTCCCAGCTGCACGAGCCCTAGACCTGCTCAATTTCACAAACGTGGCCGGGCGGCCCATGCTCATCATGTTATGTTCTCGCATCGGGACCCATCCATCATACACCCCACCGCCCCGCACCGCTTTGACATTCCCCCCACCCCTGTGCATTACAGCTGCCCGAGCCCTTGACCTCCTGAACTTCACAAATGTGGCTGGGCGTCCCATGCGCATCATGTTCTCTCACCGGGACCCATCCATCAGACGCAGCGGCACTGGCAATATCTTTATCAAGGTGGGTTTTGCGTTGACTCAGCAGAAGTATAATTGTGGGCTTTGAATGTACTCAAGTGGTGCGGCTTTTGGGTTGGGATCCCTCTGTACTGGCAATGGCACTGGCATTGCACTGGCAATATCTTTTATTAAGGTGGGAAATTCATTCCATGCTGGTGCGCTGTTTTGTCAGTCTTGAAAACTTATGCAAAGGTTGATGTTGATATTGTGAAGCCGTTTTCCCCTTCTTTTATTTTCTTTCCTTTTCTCTTCCTGCTCGTGATTCTGCCTTCCAACCCCCTCAGAATCTCGACAAGAGCAGTGGCGTACAGCGCTGTACGACACTGCACTCCCATTCCATTCCATGCCGCGTTCGGCTCGATTCTCTCCTGCCTGATTGGAATGGAATGGGAGAGCAGTGACTTACACTTCAGACCGTCTCCTTCCCTGCTTTCATCACTCCCTTTTCCACCCCTTGGAATCCCCATTCATTCCATCCAAACCCCTCAGAATCTCGACAAGAGCATTGACAACAAGTCCTTGTACGACACCTCAGCGTTCTGCGTGCGTCTTTTTCTGTGCTCATCCCTCCCCTTTCCATCCAAACTGCACAGAATCTCGACAAGAGCATTGACAACAAGGCCCTGTATGACACCTTTGCAGCGTTCAGCTCGATCCTCTCGTTCCGTTTGGTGACTTAGTGTGTTTCCCTGCTCTCAACACCCCTTTGTGCCGCCACAGAATCTCGAGAAGAGCATCGACAACAAGGCTCTGCACGACACCTTTTCAGCGGTTGGCCTCGATTCTCCCCTGCCCTCAGCACTGCACTCCCTTTTCCAACCTCTTATCCCCCCCTTTCTTCCATCCAAACCCCTCAGAATCTCGACAAGAGCATTGACAACAAGGCTCTGTACGACACCTTTGCAGCGTTCGGCTCGATCCTCTCCTGCCGCGTTGCTATGGGCGACAGCGGAGCATTCAAGGGTTCGCGTTCTGTGGCGACTCAATCCTTACTTGTGTCTTTCTGCTCCCATCCACCCCATCCAAACCCCTCAGAATCTCGACAAGAGCATTGACAACAAGGCGATGTACGACACCTTTGCAGCGTTCGGCTCGATCCTCTCCTTCCGTTTGGTGACTTAGTGTGTTTCCCTTCCAACCCCGTCCATCCTACCCCTCAGAATCTCGACAAGAGCATCGACAACAAGGCGCTGTACGACACCTTTGCAGCATTCGGCTCGATCCTCTCCTGCCGCGTTGCTATGGACGACAGCGGAGCCTCTAAGGGGTTTGCGTTTGTGCAGTTTGAGAAGGAGGAGTTGGCAAAGGCAGCTATCGAGAAAGTCAATGGCATGCTCATTGCTGGAAAGGAGGTGAGCTTATAGCGAGTACAGTGAGCTCATAACGCGTACAGAGAGGAAGGGGGCATCAAAGGGGTTTGCGTTTGTGCCGTTGAGAAGGAGGAGGTGGCAAAGGCGGCAATTGAGAAAGTCAACGGCATGCTTATCGCCGGAAAGCAGGTGAGCTTGTAGCGAGGCGAGGACATTGAGCCTTTAGCGAGTAAAGTGAGCTTATAGCGAGTACAATGAGCTTATAGCGGGTGCAGTGAGCTTATAATGGGGACAAATGCTTTGGTGATGTTTGTTTGCTCTTCCCTCCCGTTTCTTCCCACCATTGTGCTTCCCCACTTGCCCCCTTCCAACCCCCCCTCCTCCAGGTGTTTGTAGGTCCCTTTGTGCACAAGGCAATGTTTTGGCCTTACCTCCCCTCCCTCCCCACACCTGCACTTCCCCACTCCCCCCTTCCTCCCTCCCTCCTTCCCTCCCTCGATGCCCCCTCTCCTCCTCCAGGTGTTTGTAGGTCCCTTTGTGCGCAAGCAGGACCGCAGTTCAAATGACAGTGATGGCATGGGAGGCGGGGGAGGGGGAGGGGGAGTGGGAGGAGGCAGAGCAGGCAACCAGCAGCAGCAGCAGCCGCAGTACACCAACCTCTACGTGAAGGGTTTAGGGGAGGAGACTACCGATGAGGAGCTTCTGAAGGTTTTTGCTGCGTTTGGGGCGATCAAGAGTGCAGTGGTCATGCGGGAGGCTGATGGGCGCAGCAAGGGTTTTGGGTTTGTGAATTTTGAGAAAGCGGAGGATGCTGCGAAGGCTGTGGGTGGGGTGAATGGGAGGAGGGTTGTGGGAGGGGTGGTGGTGGAGGGTGGGGAGGATGGGGAGGGGGAGGGGAAGGGAGGGGAGGGGGAGGAAGCGGAAAAGGAGGAGGGGAAGGAGGAGAAGAAGGAGGGGGAGAAGGAGGAAGGGAAGGAGGGTGAGAAGGCAAAGGAGGGAGAAACGAAAGAGGGAGAAACGAAAGAGGGTGAATCAAAGGAGGGAGAAACGAAAGAGGGAGGAAAGAAGGGAGGAAAGAAGGGAGGGGGAGGAGTGGGGCGGGTGTGGTACGTGGCACGGGCTCAGAAGAAGGCAGAGAGAGAGGCAGAGCTGAAGAGGCGATATGAGGAGGAGAGGAGGCAGCAGACAGAGCGATACTCGCAGAGGAATTTGTATTTTAAGAATCTGGAGGAGAGTGTGGAGGAAGGCGAGTTGATGAAGATGTTTCAAGAGTATGGCACTGTCACCAGCTGTAAGGTGGGTGCTTGGACTTGTGGGCTTTCAGCAGACAGAGTGCTACCCACAGCAGCCAGATCGGTGCTCGCATCAAAACCTGTACTTCAAGAATTTGGAGGAGAGTGAGCTGATGGGAGCATCAAACGCCGAATCTGTACCTCCCCTCCCCTCCCTCTCCTCTCCTCCTTCCATCCCATTCTGTGACTATCAGATTCTCAAGCATGAGACGGGGGGCATTAAGGGTGCTGGGTTTGTGCTTTTTTCAGCGAGGCTGATGCTGCTCCTACTCAATTCCCTCTTCACCCACCCTCCACCCACCCTCCATCCACCCTCCACCCAACCCTCCCACTGTCCCTCCCATTCTGTGACTATCAGATTCTCAAGCATGAGACAGGAGGCAGCAAGGGTGCTGGCTTCGTGCTTTTTGTCCCTTGTCCGGCCCTTTGCTGCTCCTCCTTTTATTCCCTGTGCACCCACCCTCCACCCAACCCCCTACACTGTCTCTCCCATTCTGTGACTATCAGATTCTCAAGCATGAGACAGGGGGCAGCAAGGGTGCTGGCTTCGTGCTATTTGCAAACGAGGCTGATGCTGCCAAGGCGGTGAGTTGCCTGCTTCTGATGTTCCATGTGTATCTGTACTCGTTATAAGGTACGGTTCACGCACTCTGTGTCTTCGTGATAAGGTACTTGCTCTGGGCTAGCGCACTGTGCCCGCCTGTGCCCCAAGCACGAGACGGGCGGCGGCAAAGGGTGCTGGCTTCGTGCTATTTGCAAACGAGGCTGATGCTGCCAAGGCGGTGAGTTGCTTGTGTTGTACACGATTTACTCGCTATAAGCTCCGAGTAGGATGCACACTACACTATGTTCTCGCCAGAAGCTGTGGGTAGGATGTACGCTACACTTTGTACGCGCACTAGACTACGTACTCGTTATAAGCTGTCAGTAGGCTCGCCCCTCTACGTGGCTGTGGCACAGCCCAAGGCAGAGCGGCAGGCAATCATGCCCTCTGTGCTTTCGCCCTCTATCTGTCCCTTTCGCCCTTTATCTGTCCCTTCTCCCATCTCTTCCGTTTCAGCTCGCAGCACTGAACAGCAAGATGGTGAAGGGAAAGCCGCTCTACGTGGCTGTGGCACAGCCCAAGGCGGAGCGGGGTTCCTTGTCACACCCGTGTTGACTCTCTTCCCGCCCTTGCTTGTTTCCCTTCTCCCAGCTCGCAGCGCTGAACAGCAAGATGGTCAAAGGAAAACCTCTCTACGTGGCTGTGGCACAGCCTAAGGCGGAGCGGCAGGCGCAGCTGCAGGCCATGTTTCAGCAGCAGCGGGGGGGTGCGCCCCATGCCCGGGCCCCGGCAGCTGCTGCAGGGGGGTACTATGCCCCCCCAGGGGTGGTGGCGCAGCAGGGCGGGTTTTACGCACAGCCAGGGATGATGCCTGTCCAGGTACGACCTCCCCTTATGCTTTGAGCGGCAGGCAGGCGCAGCTGCAGGCGATGTTTCAGCAGCAGCGGGGGGGTGCGCCCCATGCGCGGGGGGGTGTGGCTGGTGTGCCTGGTGCTGCGGGAGGGTACTATGCCCCCCCAGGGGTGGTGGCGCAGCAGGGAGGGTTCTATACACAGCCGGGGATGATGCCTGTCCAGGTACGACCTTCAGCAGTTGGGAGGAGCGCAGCCCCACCCCCAGGGGGTTGTTGCTGGTGTGGCTGGTGTCGCTGCTGGTGCTGCAGGGGGGTACTATGCCCCTCCAGGGGTGGTGGCGCAGCAGGGAGGTTCTACAGCCAGCCAGGGATGATGCCTGTCCAGGTAACACCTGCCTCCATGCCTTGTGAACAGCAAGCCACGTTAGCACCCTGCCATTCCCAGCAGCCTATGCGGCCAGGCATGGTGCTAGCTACCAGCCAGCATGGGGGGAGAAGGAGGGATGGGGTTATGTTTATGCACCTTCCTACCCCTCTCCACCACTCCCCACCCCGTCCCACCCTGTCCCCTCACCAGCCCCCGTACCCCTACTCCCAGCCCAGCAGCCCATGCGGCCAGTCATGGTGCTATCTGCAGGCATGGGGGGAGCAGGATTCAGGAAGGATAAGATGGGGTTGGTTTTTAAACCTCAACTGATGTGCACCCCTCCATTCCCAACACCCTCCACCCCTCTCCACCACTCTCCACCCAGTCCCACCCTGTCCCACCAGCCCCCATACCCCTACTCCCAGCAGCCCATGCGGCCAGGCATGGTTCTACCAGCAGGCATGGGGGGAGCAGGATTCAGGAAGTCAATTGATCTTCACCCTTCCATTCCCACCCCTCTCCACCACTCCCCACCCCTTCTCACCCTGTCCCACCAGCCGCCGTACCCTTACTGCCAGCAGCCCATGCGGCCAGGCATGGTGCTGCCAGCAGGCATGGGGGGAGCCGCAGGCATGGCAGGCGGGATGGGGGCACCTGGCTTGGGGTTATGTATAAGCATCAGGTGATTCGCACCCTTCCCTCCCTTTCAACCCGTCCCCACCCTCTCTACCTCTCCCCACGCCATTCCACCCTGTCCCACCAGCCCCCATACCCCTATTCCCAGCAGCCCATGCGGCCAGGCATGGTGCTACCAGCAGGCATGGGGGGAGCACCGGGCATGGCAGGGGGAATGGGGGCACCAGGGATGGTGCCCGGGGGAGCACAAGGCATGGTGGGGGGACCGAATCCCAATGTGTACATGCGGCAGCAGCAGCAGTATGGGGCGGCCCAAGGGGCGCCCGTGCAGGTGGGTGGGCTCTGGGGGAAAGAACATTGAGGGTTGAAGCAGCAGGCAGAGCAGTAAAGGTTGCGGTAGCACCTGTTATGGTGCCCGGGGGAGCACAAGGCATGCTGGGGACACCAAACCTCAATGTGTACATGCGGCAGCAGCAGCAGTATGGGGCAGCTCAAGGGGCACCTGTGCAGGTGGGTGGAGGAAGTGGGAGCAGTGGGGGCAGTGGGGGTGGGGGGGACAGTGGGTGGGGGGGCTGTGGTGGCTAAACCAGCATTTAAAACGTAATGTGTAATTGAGAGTTGACTGGCAGCTTGTTTCTCTCGTGATTGGTTGTATAGGGAATGTTCTAAAGTGCCCTTGGTTTTTCTTCCTTGCCTGCCCCTTTCCTTCCTACAGCAGCAGCGGCAGCAGCGGGTGCAGGGGGGACCAAGGGGCGGGGGAGGGGGTGTGCCGGGAGGTCTGGGAGGGCCAGTGCCAATTCAGGTGCTGGCAGCAGCCGTGGCATCAGCACAGCCAGAGCAGCAGCGAGCGGTGAGTGTGAGAGGGAGTGTGAGTGTGAGAAGGTGTGGGAGTGATTGTGCATGTGGGAGGGCCGGTGCCGATTCAAGTGCTGGCAGCAGCAGTGGCATCGGCTCAGCCAGAGCAGCAGCGAGCTGTGAGTGCGAGAGACAGAGAGTTGAATCAGGGATGTGAGAACTAGTGGAGTGGTGAGTGGAATCAGGGATGTGAGAACTAGTGGAGTGGTGAGTGGAATCAGGGATGTGAGAACTAGTGGAGTGGTGAGTGGAATCAGGGATGTGGTTGCATGTGTGCTCTTACCCATTCTCCTCTCTCCTTCTGCTCCTCTCCCCCTCTTCTCCTCGACCCCTCCCCTCCTCCCCTGTTCTCCTCTTCCCCTCCCCCGCCCCCTGCTCTCTTCCCCCCCACCTCTTCCCCCTCAGATCCTGGGGTAGAAGCTATACCCCTTGGTGGCTCTCCGGGAAAACTAGGGCTGGTTGTGAGTGTGGTTGTTTTCCTTGCCCACTCTTCCCTATACCCCCCACTCACTTCTCCCCCCTTCCCTCTCTCCTCCCTCCCCCTCCCCCTCCCCCTCTCTATCAGATACTGGGGGATACTGGGGGAGCAGCTGTACCTGTTAGTAGCACGTCAGGAGCCGGAGCATGCAGGCAAGATCACGGGCATGCTTCTGGAGATGGACAAGGGGGAGCTGCTCATGCTGCTGCCCCTCCCCTCCCTCCCTTCCTGTTGCTCCCCTCCCCTCCCTCCCTCCCTCCCTCCCTGGCCTCCCTGGCCTCCCTGCCCCTCCCTGCCCCTCCCTGCTGTCCCGGCCCACCATTTCCCTTACCGTATCCCAAATTTCCTCTTTCTCGCTGCCAATACAGATTCTGGGAGAGCAGCTGTACCCTCTAGTAGCCCGTCAGGAGCCGGAGCATGCGGGCAAGATCACGGGCATGCTGCTGGAGATGGACAAGGGGGAGCTGCTCATGCTGCTGGAGATGGACAAGGGGGAGCTGCTCATGCTGCTGGAGATGGACAAGGGGGAGCTGCTCATGCTGCTGGAGATGGACAAGGGGGAGCTGCTCATGCTGCTGCCCCCCTCCCCTGCTGTCCCTGCCCAATCTTCCCCCTACCCCCCGCTCACCACTCCCCCTCCCCCCTCCCCCTCCCCCTCTCCCCCCCCTCTCCCCCTTCCCCTCCCCCTTCCCGTTTTCCCCCTTCCCCTGCAGATCCTGGGGGAGCAGCTGTACCCCTTAGTGGCCCGCCAGGAGCCAGAGCATGCAGGCAAGATCACAGGGATGCTGCTGGAGATGGACAAGGGGGAGCTGCTCATGCTGCTGCAATCGCCAGACGCTCTCCGAGCCAAGGTCTCCGAAGCTCTCGATGTGCTTCGGATCGCCGCTGCCATGGCGGCCGCCTCCACTGCGGATCAAGGCTCGGGATAATAGGTTCGGGATGAGAGGCTCAGGAGGGATGATAGGTTCAGGAATCGGGATCCATCCTATCCCATCGCATCATGTTGCTCTCGTGGCATGCTGCTTGTTTCAAAGGGGCTGACTTTTGGGCACTCTTTCCTTTTTCTTCTCGCGTGTCTTGGTTAGTGCATGTTGCACTGCAGTTTCAACGTAATTCAAGCATTATGATTTTTGTTTCAACAATTACCACACCATTAGATGGTGTTTGCTCTGAGAAAACTGTAAGCGTCTTTCTCGCTAAATGTGGATGGAGAAACCATTTGTTGATTAACTTCCAAGTTAAGCTTGTGTAGCCGTATAGGGGTCGTTATTACATCGGTTCCATGATATTAGTATCAGTAACGGGCCACATCATGGCTGGGGTTCCATGCAACCGGGAAAGGCTGACGTGGCTCCTCGACAATCACCACGTCAAATCTTGGAAACGAATTGGCTCTCGTGATTTGAGCTGATGCGTCACCTCTGTGGATTTCTTGCGGCTTGGCACATGCAAATCGGGGAAGTGCGCCCGCACTGCCAAACAGCCCTGGCGCAGTGCAGTCGTCAGCGAGACTCCGCCGCGCGGAGCATACAGTAGCATCTTGAAAGTTGCGCAGAGCGGAACTTCGCTGCGCCCATTCCGCACCCCGTTATCCCTTGAGATTGCCACGATTGGTTGCCTGGCTGATCTGGCTGCCTGAAATATTGGAAGCTTGGAAACTAGAAGCTTGTGAGCAGGGAAAGTAGGATTCTGGTCTGGATGGACTACAAGTTCCCAGAATCCCATTTCCGACAGCCATTTTGTGTTAGCCATTCTTCCCTGCTTGGCAAGATTAGTGAGGCCGTAGTCGTCCGATTTCCTCCCAGTTTCGCTGCAAGCTTTGCCGAATACCTTTTAATTCCAGCTTAGCCTGCTCGTATCTTGAGGGAAATTAAGGATACCAGTCATGGCCGCCATTGCCAAGTGCGCCGTGCCGTCCTTCACGGGCCTGAGGAAAAACCAGACCTCCCAGGCTTCCACCAGAGCCTCCTCGCAGCAGAATGTGAAGTCGAAAGCCTTCACCGTCCGCGCGGTTGCGGAGCCGGCCGCTAAGAAGCTGACGATCGAGGAGGCGGAAGCGCGCGTGGTCGCGGGGAATCCCCCCCCTGCTCCGGCCGCCAAGCCCCGCCCAGCAGCTCCCAAGGGAACGCCTATCGTCGAGCCGCTGGTCCGTTTCCTTAGCAATGAATCTATAGTTCTTGCAATTGATTCGATGTTGACTTCAACGGTTGCGAATTGGCTCTTTCGTAATCGTCGACGTCTTTTTGACGCTGTTTTATCCAATGCAGATGAAAAGACGTTATCAGCGAAGGTTAATTGGTAGCGCTATTGTCTCCACGTGCTGGGTTGGAGGGGAATGAAGAAAGAAAGGACCACATTGTTGGAAAATAGACGTAAAAACCGATGATTTTCTTCATAAGCGTACGGTTCTTGATGTCACCTAGATGGAAGTACGAGATTGAAGCTCTCAGGTGGTGTGCTTGTGCTGTGCATGGCAGCCGAAGGTCATGTCGAGTCCTCGTCGCAACCGCTGGTGTTAGATTGTCATGCGTCCTACTACTAGACTTGTTTTGTGCGTGGGTGGTGCTGGCATAACCTAACTTCGAGGCCTGGTCGCAAAACCCTCGGTGTCAGGTAGTGATGCATCCTAATACGAGGCTTGTGCTGTGTGTGTGCTATGCGTGGGTGGTGTTGGCAGAACCTCATCTCGAGGCCTCGTCGCAACCGCCGGTCTCCGTTCCTGAGGGAGGCTTTCCAGGAGACGTTCGTCACTCCCGCCAACTTCATCCTTCCACTTTTCATCCACGAAGGTGAGTGCTAGATGGGTGGTGATTGCAATCTTGGCATGTTCCAATAAATAACCAATAAGATTCCCACCGAATTCTTGTAACCCTCTTATGATCTATTTATTACACCTTCATCGATTTTTCGTCCGATTCTTGTCAGGTTCTCATAAGATTCTCACTCGACTCTGATCAGATTGTCATATTCTTCTTCCCCGATCCCCCTCACCTCGCCGTGGACCCCTCTCCTATTGGCTCCATGCCGGGATGCTACCGCCTCGGCCGGAGGATCGGGCTCATTTCCTCCCCCACAACCATCCCCAACCCCACCCCACTCCCCCGTTTCCCCCTTACCTCGCCAGGCGTGGACGCCTCTCCCATTGGCTCCATGCCGGGGTGCTACCGCCTCGGCTGGAACACCGGGCTTATCGAGGAGGTGTACAAGGCGCGTGACGTGGGAGTCAACCAAGTCGTGCTCTTCCCGAAAGTCCCCGACGCTCTCAAGGTGGGCTTTTTTCGCACTGCGTGTTGACTTTTGAGCCGACTGAAAGGTCAGCGCGCGACGTGGGAGTCAACCAAGTCGTGCTCTTCCTGAAAGTCCCCGACGCTCTCAAGGTGAGCCTCTTTCTCATCTGCGTGCATGGTGTTTGCAACTTGTTCGGACCCTTTCGTGCGGGCTAACCTGCTGCAATGCATGCCTGAAAAAAATCCGTGGTAGCCTTCGACTTGTTCTGACGTGGATGCGTTTCCCTCGGACGTGACGTACAGTCCCAATGGCACTGTTTGGACAGTCGGCGTTGTTGCAATGTTCCGAACTGCCTCTCCTCTCGCGCTTTGAGTGCATGCCTTGCCTGTTCACAAGGTTCAGTGTTCCCTTCACATCGCAGCATCCGCCTCCTCTCGCGCTTTGAGTGCATACCTTGCCTGTTCACAAGGTTCTGTGTTCCCTTAATTTACATCGCAGCATCCGCTCCGCCTGCTCAAGGACAAGTTTCAATCTGCCTGTGCTCACGTGTTGTGCTGTGAATGCGTGCCCTGCGTTTTTGTGTGTTTCCCACAGACCCCCACCGCCGACGAGGCGTACAACCCTGACGGCATTGTTCCGCGCAGCATCCGCTTGCTCAAGGACAAGTCCCCCTCTCGATTTCAGTGCTTTACTTCATACTTTGCCTCTTTGACACGCTTTTCCTGCAGACCCCCACGGCCGACGAGGCGTACAACCCGGACGGCATTGTTATGCGCAGCATCCGCCTGCTCAAGGACAAGTTCCCGGACCTCGTAAGTGCTTCTACGTTGCAGAGAGATGGTAGGAAGCTATGCGATTTGTACGAAGCACCCCTTAGCTCACTGACAAGTTCCCCGACGTCGTGAGTCTCCTGAGGTCACTCTTACTACCAACGGCGGCCTGTGCTGTGAAATGTGCTTTCGAAACGGAGGGTTCGCCTGCTCCAGGACAAGTTTCAAAACCTCGAGTCAGTAGCTTCATTGTGAAGTGTTCATTCTTTGTTTGAAAGAATGATACGGTTCTGGTATTCAGTCATCAGTTCCACCTCGAGACAAGTGCTCATTCCTCGCTAACAATCATAGCACGCTTCTGGAATTCAGCCTTAGATGCATCGTGCTCGTCCGCCACTCCCTCTCCCTCCCACCACCACCTTACTTACTCTCGCTCTCTTTCCCCAACCCTTTCCCTATCCACCCTTGCCCTTTCCCCTTTCCTCTCGTCCACCCCCCGCTTTGGTGATCTCATCGCTGTGCTGCTGACGGGGCGTCTATCCAGATCATCTACACTGACGTGGCACTGGACCCGTACAACTCGGACGGCCACGATGGCATCGTGAGGGAGGATGGAGTGATCATGAACGACGAGACTGTGCACCAGCTGTGCCTGCAGGCCGTGGCGCAGGTATGTGTATGTCAATATCGAGTCAGCTTATAACGAGGATGGTTGGCTTGGTAGGGAGGAGGATGGATGGTGTGATCATGAACGACGAGACTGTGCACCAGCTGTGCCTGCAGGCCGTGGCTCAGGTATGTCTAATTTGAATCAGCTTATATGGATCATGATGGACGGCCGTATGGCCACCAACCGCGCTGCTCTTGCTAGCCCACACCCACCCACCCCCCACCCCACCCCTCTCCCACCCTCCCCCTCTCCCCCCATCCCTCTCTCCCCTGTTACAGGCGCGTGCAGGATCAGACGTGGTGAGTCCCAGTGACATGATGGATGGCCGCGTGGGCGCCATCCGCGCTGCTCATGCTCGCCCTTGTTCTCTCCCCTGTTCCCTCCTTTCCCACCCTGGCAACCCCTTTCCCTTCCCCTACAACAGGCGCGCGCAGGGGCTGATGTGGTGAGTCCCAGTGACATGATGGACGGCCGGGTGGGCGCCATCCGCGCTGCTCTGGACGAGGAGGGCTTTAACGAGGTCTCCATCATGTCCTACACTGCCAAGTGAGTGCTTTTATGTGGGCCTACACTGCCAAGCGGGTGCTTAAATGGGGAGCCACTGCTCTGGACGAGGAGGGCTTTAACGAGGTCTCCATCATGTCCTAAACTGCCAAGTGAGTGCTTTACGGTGGGGTTACCCTGCCAAGTAGGTGCTTGGATGGGGGTCCTGCTGCTCTGGACGAGGAGGGCTTTAACGAGGTCTCCATCATGTCATACACCGCCAAGTGCTTTTAAGGGGGGAGACACACTGCCAAGTAGGTGCTTATACCGGGATCCTACCCATCTTTGGACGAGGGCTTTAATGAGGTCTCCATCATGTCCTACTCCGCCAAGTGAGTCTATCCATTGCATCCCTCCGCATCCCTTTGCACACCTCTTCTCTCCTTCCCCCTCCCTCTTCTCCATCTCCCCTGCAAGTATTGCTGCATCCCCTTCTGGGACGATGCGTACTCCCCTTCTACACCCTGCTCTGCTGCCATCTATGGCCCCTTCAAGAAAGCCCCTTCAAGAAAGCCCTAGTTTTGAGGTGCCTCAAAACGCTGCTTACTCCCCCTCTACACCCTGCTCTGCTGCCATCTATGGCCCTTTCTAGAAAGCCCCTTTCAAGAAAGACCCTGACTGCAACCCCCACTCAGCTGTAACCACTCTCACCATTCTCAACTGCTCTGCATCTCCTTGGTTTTCTTCTCTCTTCCTTCCATCTCCCCCTGCAGGTATGCGAGTGCCTTCTATGGCCCATTCAGGGAAGCTCTCGACTCCAACCCCCGTTTTGGCGACAAGAAGACGTAAGTCTCAATGTACCCACCCCTACAATACATGCCCAAGCTTCCTGTCCCACTGTGCCTTCCTCATTTCTTCCCCATCCAACCCTCCATCCACCTCCCTACCCCTTAACCTCGTTTCCCTGTTTGATCTTGCATGTGAAGTACTAAATTCGTTTGCATACTTAGTACTTTCAATGGTCCTTCAGTGGCATTTTTCGGTATGCATGCTATTCCCCCTTGCCACAAGGCATTAGATGAACCCTGGCAACTACAGGGAGGCACTCATTGAAACACACGCAGATGAGAGCTTGCGACTTCCTCTGATCGTGCACTCCTCTTGCCCATGCCCCCACCCCCTATCATCACGCCCCCACACCACCAGGTACCAGATGAACCCTGGGAACTACCAGGAGGCGCTCATTGAAACCCACGATGATGAGTGCTTGTGATTTTCCCTTGCTTGCTGCTCATGCCTGATGGGCATTCTTGCTGATAACCGTTTCTGCTGCCCATGCCCCTGTGCCCGTACCAACAGGTACCAGATGAACCCTGGCAACTACAGGGAGGCGCTCATTGAAACCCATGCGGACGAGAGTGAAGGTGCTGATATCCTCATGGTGAGTGCTTTTCCGGGTGATTTTCCGAGTGATTTTCCGAGTGATTTTCCGAGTGATTTTCCGAGTGATTTTCCGAGTGATTTTCCTAGTGATTTTCTGAGTGATTTTCCGAGTGATTTTCCGAGTGATTTTCCGAGTGATTTTCCGAGTGATTTTCCGAGTGTTTTTCCGAGTGATTTTCCGAGTGATTTTCCGAGTGTTTTTCCGAGGCAGGAAGAAAGGAGGATTTGATTGATTGTAAAGAGGGAAGGGGATGAAAGGCTTTGATTGTGGGGAGGGGAGGGGGTGGAATGATTTTTTAGGCGCCTCAAAAAAGGAAGGAAGGAGGATTTTGTTGTAAGGAGGGGAGGGCATGAGAGGCTTCAATTGTGGGGGAGGGGAGGGGGTGGAATTATTGGATTTTGGGGAGAGGAGGGTTGGGAGGATTTGACTGTGGGAAGCGCAATGAACCCTTCCTGTTTTTTTTTATATTTCTCAAAATACAGATTCAGCACCATGATTTCTTCCAGGTGTCGGGTGAGTCCCATGACCAACGCACTCACTCCCTCCCCTTCCCCCACCAGGTCAAGCCCGCCATGCCTTACCTGGATGTGATTTGCCTCCTCCGCGACAACACAGCGTTGCCCATCTCATGTCGATCTCAGCCTTGAAGTCCTATGCCCACATGCATTAGCCTACCATGGCCCTTACCTCTTCCCTCCTTGTGCTGCTCATTCTGTTCCCCCCCATCCCTATTTCACCCCTTACCAGGTCAAGCCCGCCATGCCTTACCTGGATGTGATCCGTCTCCTCCGTGACAACACAGCACTGCCCATCTCAGTCAGTGTGATTACTGGGACCTCACCTCGCTTCACTCCTCTGCTGTCCTCCCCACCCCAATTCCCCCACCCCCCCATCAGGTCAAGCCCGCCATGCCTTACCTGGATGTGATCCGTCTCCTCCGCGACAACACAGCACTGCCCATCTCAGCCTACCAGGTGTCTGGTGAGTATGCCATGATCAAGGCGGCAGCAGCCAACGGGTGGCTGGACGAGAAGAAGGCGGTTCTCGAGTCCCTCCTGTGCATCAAGCGAGCTGGCGCTGATGTCATCCTGACGTATTTTGCCATCCAGGCTGCGCAGTACCTGGCTGGGGAGAGAAAATAGAGGGCGGGCAAGCTGCACTTGCTGAGCTGCTTTTCTCAAAAGGGTCTGTAACGCCTGGTCAGGAAAAACAGAGACTGCTGAGAAATTGAAATGGCGACAGTAGGAGGGGTTATTTGAATGTGGAGTTTGTGTGATACTAGTAGTCCATAATTTTCCTTCATAAATTTCATCAACCTCTATGTCATTCAGTCTGCCAAGACATGCAATATTACAGGGGCAACCAATTGAGGGCGCGACGCTTTATCGAGGATGTGAGTTAAACGAGGCACGTGATTGGCAACTGCGCCATTATGCCGGGGTGAAGGTCAAGAACATATCTCAGTCACATCCAAAAAGACATGCGAACAGTCCAGCCCAGTGAGTCAGCAGCAGCGACAGCGACTCCCTCCGGCAAACGCAGCAGGGCCACACGTAGTGTCCAATAAAGCACTGTCGCGTCGAGCGCGTCGCACGGTACACGAGCATTTCCCGCCACAAGCTGTGGATTGACCGTGTTAGAGCTGTCAAACTCAAATTTCCACCACAAAACTGTATTGTCAGGCATCGCTTCGCGGATACAGTCAGCCACAAATACCAGTGACCTGACGTGGCTGATGATAAATGTGCATGACGTGTACACTATCGTCGCTCGTTTCTTGCTCTGTTATTGGTATACTGCTCAATATGACGTGTCGTTGAGAAAATCTGACAGGGTTACCAGTTTCGGTAATCTCGTCAGATCCACTAGGTAACACTGGGATACAAAAGTTGCCATAGCACACTTTTCAGTCAGGAGGAAGTCCGAAAAGTGTTTCTCCCCTTCACCAAACTCGTCTGTCATTTGAGGGCGTTTGAAGCACCAAATATAAAATCTCTGACACTTGTATGTTTTCTTACCCCATCAAACCCTTTTTATATCTTACAAAAACGTAAAATAGCCTTTCAGTACCATTTTTCACCGTTGTTGTTGTGGCAGGACTACCATCGCCCACCAACCGCGCCATTTATTGGTTGTTAGATTTTCCCTTCCAGCTTTTTTAGGTTGTCCAAGAATTCCGCGCTGGTAAAGCGAGCTCAGGAACGACCTATTTCTCTCCAAATCCTCACTTGTCCTTCTTTCGACCACTTCCCTTTTTTCGTCGATCTCGTAAAGTCAGATTAGTGTAATCTGTACTTCGACCGCAGTAACGCAAATAAATCCGGACCTCCATATTTTGGCAATCATGTCTCACGACGATCACGACATCGGCGAAAACGTTTCCGGCGACGCGTTCTCTGGTAACCGCTGGCACGCTTAATCGCTTCGAAGCGGCCGTACCGACTTGTACCGGGGAGCGCTATACCGCGTATACGCAAAGCGCGTTACAGCAGCGCACCAGTACCGCCAGATCTGCGCACCCACCGCTCCCCGCGATGCCGCAATTGGGTGACGCATCAGATCTAGCTTCCTCCAATCAGCTCGCGTCATTCTGGCAGTATCACTCTCCGCGGGCCGCGCTTCCGCTCTCCGCGTACCGACACCGTCAGCTTGCCCCGGCCGAGAATCAAGAGGCGCATGTCCCGGCTGGCTTGCCCTCCTCTTCTTCTTCCTTCCGCCGTTTATCGGAGTGCGACTCGTTGCAGCCGCCGGTTCATCCCTCCGCCAAACGGCAACGCGTGAATTTGACCGGCGCAATCATTGCGCCTCTGAATCCTTACGAGACGCGACAAAACTCAATCATTGCGCAGGCAGATTTGTTTGACGCGCGCCAGAGGTCAATAACGGATCGTGAACATTTCGCCGCAGTATCTCGCCCGTCGTTTCCTAACGGCAGAGTTCCAGCCGCGACGGGTGACTGTAACGAGGGCGAGTTCCCAAAAACGGACGATGCAGCAACGCCGCGTGCGCCCGCGGAAATGGCGTCACGGTGTGACAATACGCGGACTGCTTGGGCGGAAATGGGGGCGCAGTGTGACGACCCGCGGATTGCTTGGGCGGAGATGGGGGCGCAGTATGACAATACGCTGACCTCTTGGGCGGAAACGGGGGCGCAGTGTGACTACCCGCGGACTGCTGCTGCGCATGGCGCTCAAGCAATTGCTGCTACGAGTACTTCTGCTGCTGCTACGGAATGGCGCTGCATGCGCGCCTTGGGTTCGTCAACGCGGCTCGGGTTCGACCTCAACTTGCCAGTGCCAGAGGCGGAGCAAGAGGCGCAAGAGGCGCAAAAGGCGCTATTCGCGCAAGCGACGGGAGAGACACAAAGGACGGAATGGGCGCAAGGGGCGCACGGGGCAGAGGCGGAGCAAGACGCGGAGGATACTGCTGAGGTTCCAGAGAGTGGGGTGAGGGAGGATGTGTTGGGAAGTGCCTGGGCGAGTAGCGGTGTTGCTGCTGCTGATGGTACTGGTAACGATGATGCTGCTGGTAACACTAATGCAAGCAACCCTGAAGCCAGTAACAGTAACGCTGCTGGTAACGGTCGTGCTGCTGGTAACATTGGTGCTGGTAACAGCAATGCTGGTATTCGTGATGGTGCTGCCGATGATAACCCTGCAGATGGTATTCCCGAGAGTGATACCAGTACAGTCAGCAACGGTACTGGCAGCTATGACGACAGCAGTGACAGCGACGGCAGCAGCTACGGCACTGGGGAGAGCAATGATGGCGATAATAATGACAATGATGACGATTGTGAGTCGGAGAGCAGCTGTGCGCTGAGCTGGCAGCAGGTGACTGGTGAGAGCGACGGGGAGGGCGAGCGGGAGGGGGTGAATGGAATGGGGGGAGAAAAGGACTGGCAGGAAGATGTGGTCTGGATGGTGAAGGAAGGGGAAGGGGTAGATGAAAGGGGTGAGGAGGGGTGGTTGGAAATGCGAGCAGTAGAGGATGGGGGTGGGAAGATGGTTGGTTGGAGAGGGGAAACAGTGGCAGCAGCAGCAGAAGAAGCAGCAGCAGGAACAGAAGCTGAGGTAGCAGCAGCTTTTGAAGCAACAGCAGCAGCAGCAGCAGGACCAGTATTGGCAATTGGAGCAGAAGAGAGAGCTGGAGCAGCAGTCGTGGGTGGGATTGAAGGGGGCCAAGAGGAGTATACGTATGGAAGAGGTGGTTTCGGGTGCATTCAATGGTTGTGATTGTATCGGGTAGTGGGTGGGACATTGTAATGAGGGTTTAAAAGAGTATGGATTGGGAGATGATACGGTAAGGTGTTTGGGAGTGAGAAATGGAGGGGGGGAAGCAGGGCCTATTTTATCAGTGTAAATCACACTGCTATACTGATAAGAAGGGTGAAATTTAGGGCCTACACTGATGTGTCTGGGTAATTTTTTTTGAAAATTAGTGTTACACTGATTTGACAGTGAAACGATTTAGGCCACACTGATGCTCTGGGGTAAATTTTCCCTTAGCGAAGATTACCCTTAAGGGCGCACAGGGCACCCCTCCCTTGAAACTCTACTCATCGAGACGAAGTTTCCTAGAAATTTCGTAATGATACACTCAATTTCGTAATGATGTACTACGACGTCAGCACGTGAGTACTGACAACCGACACCGCGTCACTCCATGTCTGCTTGCAACCTACTGTAGAGGCGATGCAACCTGATTGGTCAAATCTGCACTCACTGCAAAAACTTTATCTTGACTCGGAAATTTGGGACTCGAGGTTGTTGGGCTGAGAAAAGCCCTTAGGAACTTTCAGGACTAAGATCGGGTGTTGATGTAGAGATGTAATTGCGGAAGCGTTTACTGAAGAATTACTTGAACCACCTTGTGCTGGTATGTGAGAACAAGATAAGTTAATAATAACAAAGACATACAGGCTTTTTATATGATTACAAAGGAGTATGGAAAGTTCTATTTTAACTGTTTTGCTGTTGCGGTTCGATGCAGTGCCGACTCGGGTAACTGCTCTGTAACGAGTAAATTATGTGTCCTTGCTGTATCGCACTGTACGTTTCGTCAAGTCAAAGGTCGAAGACCTTTGACCTTCGCGTAACCTCTGACGGTTGCCTTGGTTGACTCGAGTGCTTTTTCGCTGTAGTCAGCTCCGTTTCGTGTCGAAGCTTCGATACGACAGAAGCGTTTTAAATCACTTGTTTCTGTCAGAATGTATTTGCTGTTTAGCCTGCAGTGGGGTACTCTGTAGAGAGTACAACCCAATTTAGGGTTTGCTATTTGTATCCCAACTTCCTATAGTGAAACCATCTCTTTCTCGATTCTCCCTTGCACAATCTCTCTCGACACTCAACTCTCTCGACTCTCACTAGCCATGGCTCCTAAGTCACGCTAGTATTCTAACAGTTTCCAACACTCCCCTTCGCTTCTGGAGGATCGCTGCTGATGACGTGTCCTTGTCCAGTCAGCAGCATGCAGTACTCGAACTTCTGTTTTCCGAGTTTCTTGGTCAAGTAATCAGCTGCCATCTCGGATGTGGGACAGTAAGATAGCTCGAGTCTCCCTTTTTCGATTTCGTCTTTTACGAAGAAGTACCGAAGGGCGATATGCTTCGTTCGATTCACGAACCCGTTTTTGTTCGCTATGCGAATGGCCGATTGGTTGTCGCAGAAGAGAGAGAAATTGGGTAACTGGGCCAATTTTGCTTCCTCCAGTAGTTCGCGAAGATATAGCCCTTCCTTGGTGGCTGAGCAGAGTGCGATATATTCTGCTTCTACTGACGAGAGAGCGATTAGCTCTTGCTTGTTCGACTGCCATGAGATAGGCCCGATAGGTTCGAGTTTGTAGACGTAGCCGGTTCGAGACCGTCTGTTGTCTGAATCTCCAGCGTGATCGGCGTCGACGTAACCGATTAGCTTAGGTGTTGCGGTGCTGGTTTTGTGGTAGGTGAGTCCGATCGTCAGAGTGCTGACGAGGTAGTGAAGCGCTCGGTCGAGTTCGAGCATGTGATTTGCTTCAGGCTTCTTGAGGTAGGTAGCAAGTTGGCTAGCTAAGTAGGATAGATCCGGTCGGCAGGTGACGGCTGCGAAGAGTAGGCAGCCTAGCTTCCTTTGGTAGTCGCGGACGCCAGCAGGTTTGAGTAGGGCGGAGGCTTTCCGATTTCCGTCGGTGTAGCGGTATGGCGTGGAGATAGTGGTTGGAGTGAGTCCGAAGCATTTAGCAATAGTGTCCGTATATTTTGCAGCGCTGAGGTAGATGGCATTGTCGCCGTCTTCGATGTCCAGTCCTAGGTACTGTGTCACGGTGGTTACGACGGTGAGGGTTAGATCTCCCTGCAGCTCCCCTTCAAACCATGTCGTTACAGCGTCGGTGGAGCCTATGTAGAGAAGATCATCGACGTAGACGATAAGTAGAATGTAGTCGGTGCCTTTCGTCAGTCGATACATCCCTTGGTCGTGTGGTAGCTGAAGAAATCCGATGCGAATTAGGCGGGCGTGAAGGTGCTGCTGCCACAGTCTCGGGGCTTGCTTAATCCCGCACAGCGACTTCTCCAGTTGACAGATTTGGTTTGGGCCTGCGTTGGACCCGTGCGGGAGTTCGACGAAAATCTCAGCATCGACGGGGGCGTAGAGGAAGGCGTTGGCGACATCGATTTGTCGAAGCTTCTTCCGGTTCATGGCGGCGATTGCGAGGAGAATCCGCAGTGAGGTATGTCGGCTTACTTGGGCGAATGTTTCCGTGAAGTCTCGCCCTTGCTCTTGGTCGAAGCCTCGCACGACCCAGCGTGCTTTGAACTTGTCGATTGTTCCGTCAGCTTTTGTTTTCACGCGGAAAACCCATTTCCCGTGAGAATAGTTTTGTTGCGTGCCACTTCGATAGGCACGACTTTCCAGGTGTTGCGTTCCTGCAGCGCCTTCAATTCTTTGTCCATGGCTTCACGCCATTTTTCCCTGTGTTCCCCCCCCAGAGCCTGCTAAATTGTCGCAGGCTCTTTAGGTGGTTCTGCTCCGTGGACGGCGTGTGAGAATCGAGAAGGAATGAGTGAGGATGATTGCACTAGCAAGCAGTTGGATACATATAACAAACCCTAACAGGGTTGTACTCACTACAGTGTACCCCATTGCAGACTAGAGAAACATAATGTTCTGACACACCCCCATAGTCAAAGTGGGGTATGATCAGCACAACAAGCAAAGCAAGGCAAGCTCAGGGTGGATCACAATGTCACCACACATTCTGAGCACAAGTACAAGAAGCAACAGTTTAAAGTTCACAAATGTAAGCAAAGCTAGAGGCTATCACAGAGGGCAAGTGAGGAGGAGGAGGCTGGACTAATAGGAAAGGAGAGAGGAGGCAATGGCGGAAGCTGCAGACACACGGGCAACAGGAGCGGCGCGCACTGTGGCTACCGGAGGCGCACCTCCGGACTACAGGAGTAACTGGCTCCGCGGCTAAGACGAGCGGCAGGAGCAACGGACCCACGGGCGACTGGCGCAGCGGCATCACTGGGCTACCGGAAGCGCACCTCCGGACTACTGGCACTGCTAGCAACACGACGGCTACCTCCACCCAACCTCCCTCTACTGCCGCACCCCCCATTCACACACCCCTTGCTGCACCCCTAGGTTTACTCACACTCCACCCCCTAGCACCACTCCGTCGACTCACACACACCCACCCCCCTCAGCGGCAGCTGCAGCAGTGGGAGACGGAGTAGGAGGAGGAAGGTATGCCACACACCCGCCATCCCCATACCCTCCCCCACTGCTGCACCTGCAGCAGGGGATGGAGGAGAAGGGGGGGGGGGTGCTGTGCATGGCGCGTGCAGAGGGCAGCAGGGCGCACGGGGCGCACAGGGCAGCAGGGCAGCAGGGCGCGCGGGGCGCACAGGGCTGCAGGGCGCGCGGGGCGCACAGGGCAGCAGGGCAGCAGGGCGCGCGGGGCGCAGCAGGGCTGGCGGGTTGGCCACACCCGCCACCCCCATACCCTCCCCCACTGCTGCACCCGCAGCAGAGAGATGGGGGTCGGGGGGGGGCGGGGAGGGCAGGCAGGTGCTGCAGGTCCCCTCCCCCCACTGCCGCATCCGCACCAGGGGGATGGCAGATCCCCTCCCCCCCACTGCTGCACCCGCAGCAGGGGGAGGGAGAGGAGAAAAGGGCGACGGCGCGGGGTCCAGGGGCGGCTGCTCCAGGGGCCAGGGGCCAGGGGCGGATGCTGAGGTCCAGGAGCGGCTGCACCAGGGGCGGCTGCTCCAGGGACGGCTGCACCAGGGGCGGCTGCTCCAGGGGCGGCTGCACCAGGGGCGGCTGCACCAGGGGCGGCTGCTCCAGGGGCTGCTGCACCAGGGGCGGCTGCTCCAGGGGCGGCTGCCCCAGGGGCGGCTGCACCAGGGGCGGCTGCTCCAGGGGCGGCTGCTCCGACGCGTGGCCCCCCCCCCCCAGGTCGCCCCTCCCGTCGCCTGTTGAGGCGACCTGAGGGGGGGGGGGGGGGGGGGGGGGGGTGTCAAACTTTGATCTAGACTTTGATGCTATCCTTGCTGCCATGTATGCTCTTGCTGATATTACTGAGGGTGACTGTTACCTGCGTGTCCCGCCCGACCCGGGCACTGTGGCTGCTGCTCTAGGTGCTAGTGCGGCTGCTGCTCTAGGTGCTAGTGCGTCTGCTGCTCCAGGTGCTGGTACGTCTCCTCTCTCAGGTACTGCACCTACTGAGTCCTTTCACACCTTCACACTTGACTCTGGTGCTTCGCGCTCTTTCTTTAGAGACAGCACCACGCTCACGCCGCTCAGTCGGCCTGTTGCGGTCTCCCTTGCTGACCCCTCAGGGGGCCCAGTACTTGCACACTCCTCCACTGTCCTACCGTGTCCTGCGGCCCCGTCGGGCTTGCTGTCGGGACTCCACCTCCCCTCGTTCTCTACGAACCTGGTGAGTGGAGCTGACCTCCAGGACGCGTGGGTTGACCAGTTCACCCCTGGAGGTCAGCGTGTGACCCACTGCACTTGCTCTCGGACGGGCCGTCACCTGGCCACGTTCACCCGTCGGCCAGGGTCGATTCTGTACACACTGACTACTGCGCCTCCTCCGGTCTCTGCGTCTGGTCAGGTAGTTGCGTCCAGTCAGGTGTTTGCTGCTGCGTCCAGGTCTAGTCCTGCGTCTGCCCCCTGCTCGTGACGTCCTTTGGCACACGAGACTCTCCTTTGGCACCACCGCCTTGGTCACCCCTCCCTGCCTCGTCTTCGAGGTATGGCCTCCCGTGCCCTTGTCTCGGGTCTACCCAGGTCCCTCCCTCCCCTTCCTCCGGGGCCTGCCCCCACCTGTGTTCCTTGTGTCGAGGGCCGCCAGCGCGCCGCCCCTCACTCCTCCTCGTTTCCTCCGACTGAGGCCCCTCTGCAGACTCTTCACATGGACGTGTGGGGCCCAGCTCGCGTCCGTGGACAGGGTCACGAGCGCTACTTCCTCCTGGTCGTTGACGACTACTCGCGTTACACCACAGTCTTCCCCTTGCGCAGCAAGGGTGAGGTCACCGAGGTGTTGAGGTCACCGACTAGATCCGCGGTGCTCGTCGCCAGCTCAGTGAGAGTTTCGGCTCAGACCTTCCTGTTCTGCGCCTGCACTCTGACAGAGGCGGGGAGTTTTCCTCCGACCTCCTGAGGGCCTTCTGTCGTTCGGAGGGCATCCGCCAGACGTTCACGCTTCCGGCCTCCCCGCAGCAAAATGGGATTGCTGAGCGCCGCATTGGCATGGTCATGGACGTCGCTCGTACGTCCATGATCCATGCGGCTGCTCCCCATTTTCTGTGGCCGTTCGCGGTTCAGTACGCGGCGCATCAGATCAACCTTCAGCCTCGTGTCTCCTTGCCGGAGACCACACCTACTCTGCGGTGGACGGGGAAGGTTGGCGATGCGTCCGCGTTTTGTGTCTGGGGATCTCAAGCTTTTGTCCGCGATACTACTGCGGACAAGCTGTCCTCCCGTGCCGTTCCCTGTGTCTTCCTTGGCTTCCCTCCTGACGCACCCGGGTGGCAGTTCTACCACCCCACCTCGCGTCGTGTTCTGTCCTCTCAGGACGTCACGTTCGACGAGTCGTGTCGTACTACCGTCTCTTTCCCTACCGCACTGCCTCTCCCCCCCCCCCCCGCCGCTCTTCCTCGCACCAGGTACTCCCCTGGTAGACCCCCTCCCCCCCCAGGGTCCTGCCCCCTCAGGTGTGTCCCAGGTAGACCCTGACGAGCCGGTCGAGGTAGCTGTCGACTCAGGTGCTGCTAGGGGTGCTGAGACTGGGGGTGCTGAGACTGGGGGTGCTGAGTCTGGAGGTGCTCTGGGTGTCCCGTCGCGGCGGGAGCCCCTCTCTCCACAGCGGCTTCGTGAGTGGTACTCTCGGCGCTGTCGAGGTGCTGCTGGTGCTGGAGCTGCTGGAGGTGCTGGAGGTGCGACTGGAGCTACTGGAGGTGCTGGCGCTGCTGGAGGTGGTGCTGGTGCTGGAGCTGCTGGAGGTGCTGCTGGTGCTGGAGCTGCTGGAGGTGCTGCTGGTGCTGTAGGTGCTGGAGGTGCTCCTGGAGCTACTGGAGGTGCTGGCGCTGCTGGAGGTGGTGCTGGTGCTGGAGCTCCTGGAGGTGCTACTAGAGCTACTGGAGGTGGTGCTGGTGCTGGAGCTGCTGGAGGTGCTGCTGGTGCTGGTGCTGGAGCTGCTGGAGGTGCTGCTGGGACTGGAGACCCTGGGGCTGAGGGTACCGGTTCTGTCTCTGCTGTTTCTCGAGGCGCTGCGCGGCCGCGGCCGTCCTACGTTCCCCTCCTTCAGCAGGTTCTTGGCTCCCCACCTTCTCCTGGTCCTCCTCCTCCTTTCCTGAGTCCACCGCCTGTCCAGTCTCAGTCGCAATTGCAGCCGGCCCCTCCCCTGCCTGGTCCTTCTCCTTACTCTGGTCCGACTAGAGGTCTTACGGAGCGTCGTGAGCCTGAGTCTCGTCCTGTGTCGCCTGCGTCTCGTGCTGCGTCGCCTGTCCGTCCTGTTCGCGCTGGTCGTGTTTCGCGTCCGCGTCTCCCACCTGTCCCAGGCACTCACTCTATGATACTGCGTCCTTCTACTGCTCCACAGCGTGTCCCTCTGCCGTCTCCTCCTGCGTCCTCTCTTCCTGACGGTCCAGACCCGGAGTCTGACTCCCTTCGTGGTGCTAATCCTACTGTCACGCGCTTTCTGGCCACTGCTGTCACTGACCCTCTCTTTGAGTCCTCTGCTGCGTCTGCTCTTGTTGCTGAGCTTGTTGACTTTGCTGCAGCCTGTCGCCTAGATTACGCCACTAGTCTTGTTGCTGCGTCTGCGTCTGTCTGTCCTCCGTCCGTCGGGGGTGAGTGTGCTCTTGGCACAGACGTCCTTGAGGACAGGCAGGAGGACCTTGAGTGCTTTGCCGCTGCCGTACCTCATCTCGTGTCCATGCTGCTTGCCCCTGAGGGAGACCCGGATGCACTAGACATCCCGACCCCGCGCTCTTACGCAGAGGCGATAGAGGGTCCCTACTCCTCTCAGTGGCAGGCAGCCATGGACGCAGAGATGGCTTCCTGGAAGTCCACAGGCACCTACGTAGACGAGGTTCCCCCACCTGGGGCGAACATCGTCAGTGGCATGTGGATCTTCAGGGTGAAGCGGCCGCCGGGTTCTCCGCCTGCCTTCAAGGCGCGTTACGTTGCACGTGGCTTCAGTCAGCGACAGGGAGTTGACTTCTTTCAGACCTTCTCCCCTACCCCGAAGATGACCACTCTTCGGGTACTGCTGCACGTTGCTGCTCAGCGTGACTACGAGCTCCACTCGCTTGACTTCAGCACAGCCTTCCTCCAGGGCAGCCTGCACGAGGAGATCTGGCTGCGCCGCCCACCTGGCTTCACTGGGTCGTTTCCTGCTGGTACCCAGTGGAGCCTCCGGCGGCCAGTCTACGGTCTCCGCCAGGCGCCCCGTGAGTGGCACGACACGCTCAGGACGACTCTTGCTGCTCTTGGTTTTGCTCCTTCCACTGCTGACCCTTCTTTGTTTCTACGCACTGACGCTACTCTGCCGCCGTTCTACGTTCTTGTGTACGTAGACGACCTTGTCTTTGCTACTGCTGACACGGAGGCACTCGCCCACGTGAAGTCCGAGCTGCAGAAGAGACACATGTGCACAGACCTGGGTGAGCTCACAAGCTATCTTGGCTTGCGGATCACCCGGGACAGAGCACAGCGCACCATTACCTTGACTCAGTCACACATGGTGCAGCAGGTCCTTCAGCGCTTTGGCTTCACCTACTCCTCGCCACAGTCCACTCCTCTGCCTACCGGTCACTCGCTCTCAGCTCCACCTTCGGACGAGTCCGTAGAGCCGAGTGGCCCGTATCCAGAGCTTGTGGGCTGCCTCATGTACCTGATGACTTGCACACGACCTGACCTCGCATACCCTCTCAGCCTTCTGGCTCGCTACGTGGCTCCCGGCAGGCACCGAAAGGTGCACTGGGATGCTGCGGAGAGGGTGTTGCGATACTTGTGCAGTACATCGGGCATGGGGCTCGTGCTTGGAGGACGGGCTCGAGTTGTCCTCACTGGTCACGCTGACGCCTCCTGGGTTGACGACTTGGCTACGCAGCGGTCGTCACAGGGTTACACCTTCAGCCTTGGCTCCGGTTCTGTCTCCTGGCGGTCTACCCGCTCTTCTTCTGTTCTCAGCTCCAGTTGTGAGGCTGAGATCTACACTGGGGCCATGGCTGCACAGGAGCTTCGCTGGCTCACCTACCTGCTGACCGACTTGGGAGAGGCGCCTCGTTCTCCTCCAGTTCTGTACGTCGACAACAAGGTCATGCTGGCCTTGTGTCAAGAGCACAGACTGGAGCACAGAACGAAGCACATTGCTCTGCGCTACTTCCTTGCTCGAGAGTTGCAGCAGCGTGGCCAGCTTCGTCTTGCTTACGTGGCCTCTCAGGCCAACACTGCTGATGTTTTCACCAAGGCACTTCAGCCTTGTGATCATCAGCGTTTCTGTACTGTGTTAGGCCTTGTACCTACTGTGCCTCACTTGTTGACTTCTTGACTCTGCTTGTACTGTACTCTATATACTTATACCTGCATGCTTACACTTGCTAGGTTGTGTTCACTGTACTGTTTGCTTTCCTTTATATAACTCTGCATGTGAACTGGCCTTATGGCCCTTTGCTTGTGCTCAGACTGTGTGGTGACTTTGTGATCCACCCTGAGCTTTCTTTGCTTTTCTTGACTGGTCTTGTGACCTCTTGTTCTCCCCCACTTTGCCTATGGGGGTGTGTCAAACTTATATCTGCTATGGTCTATTTAGGCTGTAGTGGGGTAGCTCTTAGAGGGTACAACACTTATGTGTTTCCTACTTGTACCCATCTCATTTTCTAGTTTATTCATTTTTCTTTCGTCAATCCTTCTCACAGGGGGGGGGGGGGGGGGGGGGGGGGGGGAGGGGGGGAGGAGTACGGGGGCCGACGCGCGGCC